AAGCCATCCTACAAATGCTTAAATCTAGGCATTTATCTAGGCATTAACTTTCCATTGCTTAGCTTTTGTTAAAGATACCTGAAATAGAAACAAAATATTTTGGGCTTTTCCTTTCAGTCAGGAAAAACAAACAAACAATCAAAACCCCCTTTTAATTTAGTTCAGTTCAAACTGGCTTTTTCCAATGCTTTGGTTCAGCAAAAAATTGCAAAATTAATCATTTACAGAGTCTGTCATGGTTCACTATTATTATTTTTCTTTCACCAAATATTAAGACCTTTTCAAATCTAATTTTCAAATGAGTTCCCCCATATGTCTACACAGTACATAAAAACCCACTACTCTGCATCAGCCTATAAACATTTATAACAGGAAATCTCAGCACATTAACCTAAGATAGAAGATGTAACATAATTCAAACTGTCTTTAAGAAGAGAAATATTTTCTGATAGTCTTCTCAAAACCCACCCATTTCAAAAAATGTTCCAAGTAGACAATATGCCATTTTATAATGATCTGTATTCTAACAATAAGGTAAAATATGAACAATACTTAGAGAATTCATATAGTACAGGGGCTAGTGACCTATGGCCTCTGTGCAGACCTGGGGAGCTTCAGTGGCATTCCAGTACCAGGAGACTTCAGCAGTCTGTAGTGAAGTAGTACTTTCCTAATTAATCCCCAAAATCCCTCCATGAGGAAGGAAAATACTACTATTCCTACATTACAAAATTAAATTATATTACTTATATTATAGGTTTATTTATTCATTTTGATTTCTATTTATTTTTTTAAACTCATTTTAACAGTCCAGCTTCTCTTAGCACAATCTCTAAATAACCATGTTAACGGGGCTTCTCAGTCAACAAAGTCAGCCACATGCCTAATTTATGCATTTATGGAACTGGGGACTAAGTGCTAATGGGGATCTTCAAAAAAGTGCCAAGATTTATAAGCATAAGTTCCAGGGAAATTCATTTTTGCACTTCGTTAACTTTACCATTTTTTTTAACTCCTACCAAAAATATTTTTAAAGTACTTTACAGAAAAACACTAAAAGTTTTAGTTTTTCTGCTATTCTGTGGATGCTTGACCAATTAACTGAACATAAAAAGAAATAAAGTGAAACTGACTACAGCACAATATTTAGTTAGTGTCTGATGTATTAACTGAAAAAAGAAAAAATATTTCCCCATTTAACCTTCTTTGTTACCATAGTTTTAAAAATTACTCGCAAGTATAATAGGAATAAAAACTACTGACAAAAATGGAATTTTTCAAGTTGATAATGTTTCTCTAAATTCTATTATCCTCATTGGATTATGTTGGCTTTTTTCTTTTTTTTTTAATCTGCTCTGCCTTTGTAAATTTGAGCCTCTCGAAAAAAGACCTTCTAGTTGTTAGCACAGATGATTGTTGTCATATAGATAGTAGTTCTGCCTCTACCTAAATTTTTCCAACACTTCCTATTACATTACTCTGTTTTCAGCTAATTATAACTTTGCTAAACTTAAACTGTTTAGCCTGGTATTTTCCATGCACGGTGTCTGCCTCTGGATTAATTTCTTTCCTTCTTTTTCTAAGTTTCAGCAATAATGGTCTAGCTGTTTCAGGGCATGAGACTAAGGAAAAACACACAGTTCAACAGATGTTAAGACAATTCATACAATCAAATCTTTGACAACTTTTAGCACTTCCTATGTTGCTGGATCTGTGACTGATAGAACATTTCAAACACATTGGAGGTTGTGCGCTGAGGACGCTTTTTGGTGGTCTTCGTTTTTGCCCTTTTGCTAGACATCTTGGCTGTTGATTCCAACAGCAGCAGCGGAGAAGCGAGTCTGACCCCCACTTCGAGCGCAGAAGGAGACAATCCCATTGCACACAAAATGGGGCAAAGGAGCCAAGAAACCCTCTGGGTTGAACACGGAAATCCAGGAAAGCTGAGGGGCAAAGAAAAAGGCATACAAGCTGTGGAAGCAGGGGGTAGCTACCAAGGAGAAGTATATCTCCTCAGCTCACACTTGCAGTCAGAAAGGCCAAAGCAGCAATGGAACTCAGGCTGGCGACAAAAATTAAAGACAACAAAATGTCCTTCTTCAGGTATATAGGGAGCAAAAAGAAGGTGCAGGGCAGCACAGGACCCCTACAGGACAGGCTAGGGCAATTGGTGACAGATAGGAAGGACAAGGCTGAACTCTTCAATGAGTTTGCCTCTGTATTCCTGAACACAGATCAAGACAAACCTCCCAACTGCATTACAGATAGGCACAGGAGGAACACCAGCCCACCAACAGTTAGCACTGACCTAGTAAAGAGACAATTGGAGGGGTTGAATGTGTTTAAGTCAGCAGGCCCGGATGATCTTCATCCAAGGGTGCTGAAGGAATTAGCCAGTGTCATAGCAGAGCCACTAGCACAGCTGCTAGAGCACTCTTGGTGCTCAAGTCAGGTCCCAGAGGACTGGAAAAGGGCCAAGAAGGGGAGGAAGGAAGATCTGGGTAATTATAGGCCGGTTAGTCTCACCTCTATCCTTGGGAAAACCTTTGAAAAAAATTATCAAGGACCACATTTGTGGGAGCCCAGCAGGAAAAATAATGTTGAAGGGCAACCAGCATGGGTTCATAGCAGGTAGATCCTGCCCGACTAACCTTGTTTCTTTTTATGACCAGCTCACAAAATGCTTAGATGCACGAGTCGAGGTAGATGTCATCTACTTGAATTTTAAGAAGGCCTTTGATGCGGTATCTCATCCTATTCTCATAAACAAACTGAGTGGCTGTGATATAAATGATTAAATGGTCAGGTGGCTGGCAAATTGACTTAAGGGTCGCACCCTGAGAGTGGTGGTGGACAGGTCGTTATTGACTTGGAAAGATGTGGGCAGTGGGGTTCCCCAAGGGTCAGTCCTTGGACCTGTGCTATTCATTGTCTTCATCAGCAACTTGGATGAGGGCACGGAGAGCACTCTGTCCAAATTTGCAGAGGACACAAAATTACGGGGTACAGTAAACACACTAGTGAGAAGGGATTGAATCCAGGCAGACCTGGACAGGTTGGAAAAGTGGGCAGAAAAGAATAGGATGCAGCTCAACAAAGACAAGCGCTAAGTGCTGCATCTAGGGAGAAGGAATCACTAACGCACCTATAAGCTAGGGGATAACCTTCTCAGCAGCACAGTGGCAGAAAGGGATCTTGGAGTCATAGCTGACTCGAAGATGAATATGTGACAAAGTAATCAGTAAAGCTAACTGCACTCTATCATGCATTAGCAGGTGCATCATGAACAGGTCCAGGGAGATACTTCCCCTCTATGTGGTACTGGTCAGGCTGCAGTTGGCGTACTGTGTCCAGTTTTGGGTGCCAAGCTTCAAGAGGGATGTGGATAACCTTGAGAGGGTCCAGAGGAGGGCTACTTGTATGGTTAGAGGCCTGCAGGTAAGGCCCTACAAGGAGAGACTGAGGGACCTGGAACTCTTCAGCCTTCACAAGAGAAGGCTGAGAGGTGATCTTGTGGCCATTTACAAATTCATCGGGGAAGTGGGGGGGGGGGCCTTGGAATAACTAGGAACAATGGCCACAAACTGAGACAGAGAGCATATTTAGGTTGGGCATCAGGAAGAACTTCTTCACAGTAAGGGTTGCCAGAATCTGCATTGGGCTTCCAAGGGAGGTGGTGCTCTCCCCTCCCTTGGGAGTCTAAGAGGAAACTGGACAAGCAACTGGCTGGGGTCATGTGACCCCAGCGCACTTTCCTGCCCAGGGCAGGGGCCCAGACTCGATGATCTATTGAGGTCCCTTCTGACTCTAACAACTATGAAACTATGTTCTCGAGCTAGAGCTTGAAATGTAAAAGGAAGGCGGTGCCTTCCTGTGAGGGATATGCTGTTTCAAATACCTACCTCTGCTAAAGTAAGACTGAAAAAACTCAGTTTGCATACACTCATCAAACACCGGTTAAGGGTTTGATAGCTAAATTATCTGAATAGTCCAGCAGCAAAGAGCAAACTCTATCCCCCAGCTGTAACTGCTCCCCCTGGCTTCTGCAGATGTCATAGAACCAGAGAACGAGAACAAAGGGATTCTTCCTGTGCTCTCAGCTTCTCACAGTTCTCACTGCTGGCATTCACAAAATATGCAGGACAAGAAACCCTGACTTGAATACACAGGTGATAAGAACCAAACCTGGGAAGAGTAGGCAGACTTGCAGCAAAGGGAACAGATCAGGAAAAGAAGCCTGAGGTGAGAATGAAGGGAAGCTTGGGACTGGCTAGGACTGCTGATATCTGGTATCTTTATAGCTGCATGGGATTCTATGAAAAACTACCATTAGACAGGTTTTGTAATTAAAAACTTTACCAATAACCTCAGAAGTAGTACAGCAAATTAATTTTCCAATGTCTGGTTTGTGTGACAGTTGGAAGTGCTGACCTACTGACATAACAGCATAGAAGGCTTTGCATTAGAGTGCAAGTTTGATGACACTGAGGTACATATTTTGCTATCTGCTGGCGAGGGAAGTGAAAGCCTTATGGAATACTGGAGTGTATTACCAGTTGTGCTATATGTAAAAGGTGTTCCTTACTTTCTTGTCACATTATCTTCAAAGGGGTTATTGAGAAACCAGAGCTTCTATGACAAGATGGAATCTGGGGACACTTTTTTAACCAAGACAGAAATATTGGTTTTGTGGTCTGAGGCAGCCAAACCGATAGTAAGACTGGTTAAATCAGCCTGGAAAATATACAGTTGGTATGATCTATAGCATCTTTAAAAGGTGATTTTCGTATTACAGCTGGCTGTTCAGCTACACTTAGAAATTACTGCTCCTCAAAAATATACCAGTAGGGGTCTAGTTTCAGTGATTTGCAGTTATAAAAGTATCACTCCATTTGTGGTTAGTGAGAAGTAACAATGTAAATCTTCCACAGATCAATGGGCAAACAATTCCCTTAGTTTCTCTTTCTAGGCAAGTATGTGGAAAAAATAATTAAACTCACTTGCAGGACACTTTTGTTCGATCAGCCACCATAGTCCATTGCTGCTGATTAGTGGAAACCTCAATGTAATAGCTGTAGCTCCGATCATCACAGTCCCACAGTAGTAACCTAAACAGGAAGAAGCAGTTAGAACATGGAAGTGATGAGTCAAATGATCATTAAAGTAGGCTGCAAGTGACATTTTTCAGTCCTCTCTCTTTTCTTTGAACCTTATTTAGTTTAACGGCTAATTCTGTAAAGTGCCTCTATCAGCTCTTGGCTGGTATTACTGACCCTCCAAATCACTTTATTCGCACTATCTTACGTTAACTCCAACAACAAGCCTATATACCATGCTTATTCAAAGTATTGTATGACATTCACTCAATTTACTTTTAATTCATTTAAAAATCAATATATGCACTCTTTTGGCAAGTGGAACAGTGAACACATCACCAACTTAAAGATCTGTTTAGATAATTCATATACAGAAAGCGCAACTTAAAGGCTAGGAAAAAATAAAGCAGGTTCTTCTTATTAGGAGGAACTACCTTCCTGCACATATTCTCTTTTTATGGCAAATGTGCACAAATGTTTCAGTTGCAGGGAATTCTCTACCTCGATCCTTTATCAAATCAGGAAAAAGAATTGGAATTTAATTGACAAAACAAACAATTCAGGTCAGGTCGACACCTTCCTCTACCTGTGGTACTTCATGACCACAAGCTCTCATAGTGTACATTAAAAGAATGGTTATACTAAGGACCTGCCTTCAAATTTCCCGCATTTAACCAGACACCACAGCAAGAAAGGCAAGAGACCAAGGATATGGTTTAGCCAAGCTGAAACTATCAAATATTACATTTGAGAGCAGGTAGTTATTCAACTACTGTAAATTATCCACAACTTTAATTGTTATTACCTTGTGGAAGGCTTCCATCAGCAGATTGCCACATTAACCTGGTCGCAAGAAACATTGCTGGAACACCAATACCTTTCACTCAAACAAGAAGAGGGGATATGAGGGACTTGTCTCCTCTCTGTACCTTACATTAGTAATATAAACACCATTCTCCAGCTTATTTAGGAGATGCTTTCTCCTGATCTGCTTCTAATTCTAGTTTAACAAAAAATTGAATCTTGTATTGAATAACTAACCTGCAGTTGGCATCTATCAAGTTATGACAAAATGAATTTTGGAGATGAGTCGCTGAGAAGAAGGGGGAAATAACACACACTCACCAAAACCAACCTGATAGTGACAAAAATTGCTTCTCAATACTAAGAGGGAGACAACCATAATATCTCCATCTAATCCCACACAAACCTGGTCATATTCTAGTGTGAACAGGGAAGGGGCGAGTCTTTTCTCAGTGCAAAGTGGCACCACATCCCCAAGCAAGAAGGAAGGATTTCTAAGCCTTTCTTTTATATACATAGGGACCAATACATTTATGCTAAACTTTTCTTGTCAACTAATCAATTCTAAAGCCACCTCTCTCCAGTAGTGGAAGAGAAGTGTACACAATACTTGAAGAGGCCAAATGGTTTCTTTCCC